CTAAGATAGACAATGCTAAGCACAAGTTTTACAGCAGCACAGTGATCTGTAACACAGTCAGCTCACAGGGCTGCTTGACAGTCAGCTGAATTATCCAGAATATCAAAGCTGAGTGCAATGATTTGTGGTTAACATTTTATACGCTTGCAGGCCACCAGGCTATTCATCCCAGTGAAGCTATGCAGACTACCTTTGAGTCTACTTTCAAATTATTTGCTTTTCCGTTCAGGATGAGTTCATTGATCTTTGCAGCCTATACAAACTCTTTTCCAAGTCAACATAGAGCAATAGATATCTCTGAGGGCCTTTTGACAATGGTTCAGAGATGTTAAAAGAGGAAGACACTTCCTACGTTGATTATGTAGTGAGCCCACAGCTTCCATAATGTAATTCCGTATGTTTTGTGCTGAACTGTGAGTCATCTGGAGCTGCCAGTAGGAAGTGGTAGGCAACGGGTTGTGTCTGAGGAGCTTACTGACTCACAGCATTACCAAGAGGCATCATCAGCCGTGCAAGATTGAAAATGCTGGATTTTTATAAAAGGGATTTCTATGCAACAACAGTACTAAACAACTAGATATGGATCATTCAGGAACTGTACAAGCAAGATCATTTGCTTTTATGGACTGATACTTCTATTTATAATGGAAACTATGACAAGAAAATATGTTTCCTGGCATGAAAATTCAGATGTTCTAATTTTATTAAAATTGTATAAATAAAGACTTTCTTTAAGTGGCAGCAAACTACTTTTAAGAACACAAATTGGAGGTGTAACCTTTGATGCAAAAATAAAATTTTAGGAGTCAGATAAGACCAGAAAAAACCCACTGTTCATACGTGTCCAGCAAACAGAAACCAAGTACATATTTTTATATAACATTTTCTCTGTGTCTTCATGCCATTCCCTCAGCAGCTGAAGATTTCATGACCCCTCACCTTGAGCTATACTCTTCCTCAGCTTGGTGATTAACTTCAGAAAATGCCTTAAGGCCTGAACTTGAGCATGCTTCATGCACATAAGGAAAACCACATGAAAAATGCCTTCTCAGTATTTACATAGCAGTACCAAGTAATACAAATGATTGCAGGACTGATCAAGATACTGAAACCTACTTTTAAAATGTAACACTATCAAATAACTCCCCTGCACTTGTAGCCATTTAAAAATACTATAAACAACCTCCCCCCCCAACTATGAAATTTGTACCTAAACAATGATACAGACTTTGGGATGAATGCTTCCTACATTCCTACAGTTTCCTGTGATGTATGAAACTCCAGATTTGTCAACACTGGCCTTCAGTTTAGTTATTCAAATATTTAGCACTTAGACATGCAAGATACCAGCAGAAATGATTTTAGTATGTCAGAAAATCCAGCCTGTTTCAGAGTAACACAATATATTGCCTGAGCAGCACCCACAGGAACAAACTTAGGCTCCATCCTCCTGGGAATATTTCATGAAGTTCTGGGTCTGTGTCCTATTTTCTAGGACCTGATGGTCTAAGGCAATTCATCAATATATGCTAAGTACAGCTTTGGACAGTCATGCACCTTAGCTTGGAAAGAGGAGAAAGCCCACTTCTGTGAAGACAGAACTTTCTCAAAGCTGGTCTTCACCTGGGGATGAACTCCCTCGGAACTACTGTCCATCCAAGATCTCATAATCTCACCACTTCCCATTCTCAGTAAACGGTGGTGTTTTTTCTGCCCATGACTTCTCTGAGTATTCAGAACCATGTGCATATTAAATAAAAATAATTTCAGACCAAGAGGAATTTCCCCAGAAGAGACTTTTGGGTACCCTTCTGAAACAGAGCAGACTGTGCGAGAGGAGTGAATTACATTCCTCCGTGCATTTCGGAAGGACATCTTCGATCCTACAGAGGTCAGAAGGAGGCAGGTACAAAATGAAGTACATGAGCAGAAACCGAGAGTTACATATACCCAGCGAACACAATTTCTACTTTTTCACATTATTTCACTTTCTATTCCGATGATAATCTTTCACATGTATATGGAAATCATTTAAAAAACTAGAATATTGTTATCAGTGTGATTTCTCCCTGGAACATGGTAACACTCTGGACTCGGCTCCCCACCAACCTGCCACCACCTCTTTGCGTAGCCGTAGCGGAGTCAGCAGCTTTAGGCGGTCCGGGCTCGCAGCCCCCCGCCTCCCGCACACCCCCAGCGGCACCGCGATGCCCGCGCTGCATCCCCGCACCGCCAGCCGCTCCCGCTCCCCGCCGCGCTCCCGCCCGAAGTTCCGCCCTGCCCGGAGGAGGGCTGTTTCCGACAGGCCTCCGCGGGTCGCCGCACCTGACACCGGGGCGGGCACGGGACCGGGGACGCCGGCGCGGCAAGGCGGAGGGAGCTGCTACCGGCCCTGGCTCCCACCGCCTCCCGGCTCCGGAAGGGCTACCAGCCCCTTTCCCCCTCTTCCCGCAGGGGCCGCTGGCGCAGAGCAGCGGGATGGAGGCGGGAGACGGCGGGAGACGGCGGGAGACGGCGGGAGACGGCGGGAGACGGCGGCGCGGCAGCTCCGCGCTCCCCGCACGGGGAAGGGCGACGGCCGCTTACCGGGTCTGGCATCCGCGTGAGCGGCGCCGCGGCGGCTGCCGCGGACAAAGCGCGGGGCGGGGGGAGGCAGAAGCGGCGGGGCGGCCTGGGCCTCCTCCTCCTCCTCCTCCTCCCTCTGCTCCGCCGGCCTCGCCCCACCGGGACGCGGAGCCCCGGGCGCAGTGCGCGGGAGCGGCGGGCAGGGCGGCAGGTGCCGGCGGCGCCGAGCCGAGCCTTGCGCCGCCGCAGCCGCCCGGGTTACGGTGCGGGGCGAAGGGAGGAGCCTGCGCCGCGCCGGGCGAGCGGCGTGGCCGCGTCCCGCTCTGCGCCGCGGGGTCCGGCCGCCGTCGCCGCCGCTGCAGCCCCGCGGGGGCGAGAGGGAGCGGCGGCGAACGCAGGCAGAGGGGCCCGGGGGTGCAGCTCACCTGGCGTGTGCCCCCCCCCTGCACCTCCGGCGGTCGGCCCGGCCACGCCTGTGTGCCGGAGGATACGCACACCTCACCTGGGCTCTCCTGAACTTTGCAGCGGGCTAACTGGGAGCAAACACTGTTAGCAGCCTTGCTGAGGAGGCTGTCTGTGAGCAAGGAGGAAGAGGAGAAGGGGTAAAATGAAGGAGTAGTGGTCGGTGTAGGGCTGTGGTGCCTGGGAAGAGGGATACTGGACAGGAGAAACTTCCTCCCCTAAGGCAAAGGAGGTAGGGGGTCACAGCTTGGGTTTCTGCGGAAGCTGGGCAGTGCTGTGGGCTGGCCTAGATCTCTGATGGGAATGTCCTGCCAACACAGCAGTTACTCACGCCATGGTATGTTTGGATGACCTGCTTGTTGTCTTTCTGTTGAACTTGCTCAACAGATGTTGATCATACTGATGTCTTTCCTGTGGCCCAAACCTGGACATGGAAGTCTTAGATGTGGTCTAAGATACTTGGTTTTGGCTCATCCTACCCCCCCAAACATGGTGAGGGCATTTCCCTTTTAGTCCTTTCGTTGTGTGCAAGGTCGTTCTGGCTGCTGGCATCCCAGCTTTGAAGTACCACTCTTGGTGCTGGTGGCTGTGGAGTGCAGCAACAGGTCTTGGTCCTGCTTTAAGAACAGGAGGGACTGATCTGGGCAAGGAACAACTTTTTGCTGGTTGTTAGAGGCTCCAGCCTATGCCATGGAAGGGTTTCAGTGGAGCTGTTGAGTTAATCCCATCCTAAAGCAGACATGGAAGGGACACTTACAGTGCTGCAAGGAGTTTGTCTGGGTAGCTAACAATTTTCCAAGGTGAAGTGTGAAGAGTGGGTATTCCTATTGTTCAGATAGGAGACTGCATTTCTGATGAATGGCAATAAGAAGATAAAGTTTGGTTGTAGGAAACTTTGGTAAGTGCAGCGCCTATCTAATGAGTATTTGGAAATTGTCTTCTGTTTAAAAAACTTGTAAAACTCAGGTCAGAGGTGATGTTAGGCTGGTTTAGATGTTCAGTGTTGAAGACACTGCACATTGTGTTCTTTCCCAAGCAGTGTTGGTCACAGACCTGAATGCTTCACTGTAACCTCTTGCAGGGTGTGTCCGTGGCTGGTTCCTGTACAGCACAGGAAGATGTTCTAGGAAAGTTTGAACTTGATGTCCTGGAGTGGCCCTTGGTGGCTGTTTCCAGGCTGACTAAGCCTAATTTCAGATCTCTGTCCACACAACCAGATTTTGAGGCACTGCTAGATCCACCTTCATTCACCTCCCTAAAAGGGCAGTCCTCAGCATCTGCCCAGTACTTTCTATAGCTGGGCAGAGCTATGTGCTCTGGTTCATGAGGAATCTGAGTTCCAGCTCACAGTTAGCCCTGATTCTACAGCAAGGAAAAGGCACAACTGGTCAGGGTGGAAGGAGTTTGCGGTTGCAATTCTCCTTTTCCCCCCTCCCATTGTATGTTTTGTGCAACATCACATTGTCAGGTTCATCCTGTATGTGTTGTCTGAATGTTGAATGGTGCTGCAGATATGTGAATGGGAGCAGAGGTGAAGGACTTTGCTGCCAGACACTTCAAAGAGGTGGACACTTCCTCTTTGGCAAGATGGAATTCTAGATCCTACTCCTCCTGTCTTCAGACCAGAGCTCTTGTCTGTTTTTAGAAAAATTTTGCCTATTTTCCAAATCTCAACCCAGAAAATCCTCTATGTTTTTCTAGCTCTCTGTGAACAAGAAAAACAACAGAATCAATGGGGAGACCCACCTACTGATCAGATTGGAACATGAATCATTGTGAATAAGTGTCCTAACATTACCTGCAGTTGCGCCTTCAGAGTGACCAATATAATACACATCCTTCTGTCCAGTTTTATTCATGATGAAGTACAGCTCTGCTGGAATATCATATTTACCCATTTCATCAAAGCTAAAGGGAGAAACACAAAAAACTTGCAGATAATTCAGCCATCACAGCGTGAGTTACTGAATGTCAGTTTTGTTCCTTGCACTCAGCAGGACCCATTGAAGGATGAGGTTGCAGGCTGTGTCTGCTTGATTTGGGGAAGTGGGCAGAGGGACACAGCTGTACAGCCAGGCTACCCGATGCCTTGGGCTCTCTGTGGAGGAGGTGCAAGTTTTGCCTGACAGCTGCGGCCCTTGGGGAACTGAATTTAATCAACACTTTCACCAGCATGAGTTACAAGAATTATTTTTCTCCCAGTTAACATCATTTGTGATAAATCAGATTTCTCAACAGAGCTGATCAGTCTCCTTTCTGCACCTGGGACATGGTCATGGGGTGAGACTTCAAGGCTACAGATGCCTCCCAGTTTCGGAAGCCTGTTCCCAAAGAAATCAGCATGGTATATGGACAGAGGTGATCTGTGTACTTCCAGCTTTGCTTCTGTATGTGCTGATTCCAAAAGAGCCCATTCAGATCATGTAGTCCTTCTTATGAGCCCCCTGACATACCCAGCATTGGCTGTATCTGTGGAAAAGAGTTGGTCTAGTCTTCTTAGATGTTGCATGTCCCACTTGGAAGTCAGATTATATGAAAAACAGTAGTGTTTTCATATAGTTCAAAAGGTATTTTTTTCGTAGAACCAGAAGGGGAAAGGTTCTGCATTTTGATAGTAACCACCTAATCTTGCTAGTTCGCTGAGTGTTGCTTTCTTCAGTAATTCTTTTTCCATGGAGTACCTGAACTGCCAGAACTCTTTCTGGCAGGGCTTAAGGGTCTTGTGTTTTAAAGACCAGGTGTCTCCTCGGCTGTTTCCCATCCAGACATCATAGCCAGCATCTGCAAGAATGAAGCCTAGGCTGTTGACGGGCAGGTTAGAAATCCAGTTAATAGAATCTGCTAGAACACCATGGTGTAGCAAAAGTGCAGACTTTTTCCCTAACACAGAAGAGGTTTTCTTAGGCTGTGTAGTAGCTAATGTGTAGTTAAAACTGGGGTGCAGAATCTGGTTTTGCAGGAGTGTTTTAACCCATGTACAGAATTTAGGCCACGTTCTAGGCTGAATGACTAGGTGCCTTTGCTGAGATGGAAAGGTATGGAACATGCCATTGCGTGTGCAAAGGGGAAAGATGGGGAACCCATGTAAGAGTTGTCTCTCAGACCTTCCTTATGTCCTACAACTGTCATACCTGCATATTGGCTGTTCCTTCCAGTGGGAATTCTGAAAACACTGAGAATGTATCCATCCTCTGTTGTAACTTCATATTCCTTGCTGGGGTATCCATGATACCTGATAATTTTACTCTGTGAAAAGCCAAAGGACAGTTTATTAAGATGCATTTACAGTGTAGATATTGGTGTAGAAGGTGTTTAGAGGCTGCTTCTGTCCAGGAACATGAACGTAACCAAGAATATGCCAGTAAGATAAATGTGGTAACATATTGCTAGCTTTTCTCTACTGCTGTGTGTTATACTGGTAGAAGGGTACACCAAAAGGGATTCCTGCAGGGAAAAAAAAACAAACTACATCTCTCTCTTTCATGGATGATCCAATATATGCCATGCCTTAACCACGGAGGCCAGAGGATGCAAACAGCAGTGAGAGTAGTTGGGGTGTGTTTCTGTGATGTGGTTTGTGTACACTACAATGTACTACATTGTGCTGTATGATTCAAATTGTAGTAATTGCTGTAGCATTGGTACTCAAGCACTACACAGACTTACAAGAGTAGCAGAATGCAGTAAAGTGTTCTTCAGACTTGCTTAGGTGGTAGTTGTCTGGTGTTTGACCTCCTATTGTGGGACAAAAAAGAACTGTACTGAGTGACTAACCTTTTGGGAGATATTTTGTCATGTTTTGCAGGGCTGATATAGGTTGTATCTTTCTAGAGAGTAACCATGCATCAGTATCTCTATCTTCATGAGGGAGGGACTTCTCAATTATTTTTATTTTTTATTAAATCTATCATATCCCTTGAGTCACTAGAACATTTGGATTACACCACAACTTGGATATATCCTTAATATTGACATCCAAACTCACTGTAGTCCACTTTGTAGGAGAATACTCCAATTCTTCTGTCAGTAGAATAGAAATCCTTCCACCTGTGTGCTCTGGAAGCTCAGTTTTATAGTAGATATTCCACTGCTTTCTGCAGTTTCATTCAGTTCAAACAAAAGTAAAACACATTCCTCTATTTCTGCATGTGGAGCATTGTTTAGGAACAAAACTGGAAAGTTCAGCATAGGTCACAGTTTGATTTTGTACTAAAGGTGAGGCAGTAGGGTAGCTAAATTGTTACCATTTTTAGGGTATGTTTTTTCTATGTATTGAATGGTCACCTGACTAAGCTGGCATGTTTTAAGCCTTTTATCTGAATGTTTTCTAAATTAGATATAATGCACCAATTAACTCTAAGGCTTGGCAAACACTGTCTCCTTAATTTCAATGGCCAAGTCTTGACTGTTGGAGCCTGGAACAGTAATCTGGTCTTTTTATGCAATGAAACAGTGCCAAAGAGTGGCATTTCCATGGCAAACTGGAATTAACTGAAATATTAAAAAAAAAAAAAGTGGAGGAAGGTATCTGAAAGATACATTGAAAATGCCATTTCTGGAGACTTTTGATATTTAATGAAAATAACCTTAAAACTTTTAGAAATTCATCAGAGTACTCTTGAGAGGGTCATAATGTTTTTTTCACATGCACTGTAAATGGGACAGAAAGGCACCAGGTCATTTAATGTGCTTACCAGATTTTAGAATTGCCAGGTTAACTTACAAGGAAAACTTAAATGGATTTGGAGCTATAATAGCAAAATGTTCAATTTATGTATACGTTTTCAATGCTGAGATTTTCATGCATCCACAGTGATATCCCAAGGGAAGAAAACCCAAGTAGAACAAAATTAAACTATCAGTTACTCCTTTTTCCCATTTGCATGGGTCAAAGACTTCTTCCTCTTCTCCTTTAGCAAGCACGCACTTTGATGCATAACATCAGGCTTGCAGCTCTGAAAGGATGCAGGCTGCCTGCTCTGACAAGCAACTACACAGAATCAAGACAGCACATCTTTATGGAGACAGGCAGCAGAGGAAGGGACCAAGGGCATATATGTACATGTTTCCTACATGCTGAGTAGGTGACAGTCTGCCCATGTACTGAATCTTGGCACCTTTTGGACCAAAAAGACATATTCAACAACAACAACAACGAAAATCAACATTTTCAGGATTCTAATCTAATTATAAGCATGGCAAAGAACACTAAAGCATATGTGTAACAGAAGTGAACCTGTGACTATAAAACTTTACTTGAGTCTCATGCCTCATCATGGTTGAGCTGCTTATCCGTTCTGCAACTGAAGCTCTAACCAAAGTGCTTTTCAAGAGGACCTGAGATGTGATGCTGGATTAAATAGTAATTTACACTCTCTTGGGAGAAATGTTGCCTGAAGCTATTACTCTGATTTGTAGAGGATGGTCTTTTTTTTTTGTTGTTAGTTTGTTTGTTGTTTCTTTAAAATAGTTTTTTAGATTACTATGCATTTGTTTATTTGTATTAGGAAAGGATTAATTAAATTACTAAATTGTTATATGTAACTTCATAGTGATTTGATGAGTCTTTCAACAAGTTGTAGTAGAGAAATTTCAACAACCTGGTCAGCTGATGCAGGAAGATGTGAATTCCTTAGGAGCTGGATGTGAAGAAGTACAGGTGAGGAATACCTTTTCACCCTTGAGGTGTTGCTCACTCCATGTTGTTAGTCCTACAGAATTTTCACCACGTGCTTAAAAAGAGCAATCTATTGTGAGGATCCTAGTGAGTTTGTCACAGGTAGATGTCTGTTTCTGTTACATGTCAATGTAATTTTCTTCAGATAAACAGTCATTAAAACTGGTGTCAGCAAACAAACACTACAGCCATGGTGCTATACTAGTACTTTAACTGGAGAAGGATAGAGACAGTGTAAGTAATTTTATATCGTACTCCACCTCACTGGAGAATAAATATGAAAGTTATGTGGAAATTAAAGTTCTCAAATGTAAGGTAAAGGGCTTGGATTTAAGATGCATACTTACATGCATATGTTTTAAAACTCGTTTTAAAATTTGCTTGAAATACAGGAAACATGAATTTAAAATATAAAGGGAAAAGATATTTTGAGGTGAGTGCAGACACTTGAAATACACATGCCCTACTCAGAAAGCCTGAGTGTAGTACAGCGTCTTATCATCAGAGCCATCAACAATAATTCTCTTCTGAATTAACATATAAAATGATCAGGTTAAACATGAATCATATTCATTGTTTGGGCTGGGCTAGGAAGAGAAGACTGAGCAAAAAGTGATGAAAGCAGATGGCCTGTTTAATTAGAGACTGAGGATAATTATACTGGGAGGTCTCATTAAAGGCGTGGGATTTAGTTGCTTCTCTTTTCCTGAAAGGAGTCTTGAGACGTTCTTGCAGAGCGTTTGGAATATGTTTTAGTCAGAATTAGCTTGTTTGGCATGCTAGCTACCATTTGTAGTTACTTATTTTAAGTTTTAGATTTCATGCTTTTTATTCTATTCTCCATTTCTTCACTTGTAAAACTTTCTTCCTCTCTCTCTCCCTCCTCCTCTCCTCGACCTGTTTTGCTGCTTTCCTTTTTAGGCAACTGAAGGATGTTATTGCAAAAATGACAAAGGAAAATGCTTCTGTGTTGTAACTTGTTCTGTCAGTCTTCTGCAAGCTGCTGTTCTCACGTTTACCTCCCTGGGTTGGGTTTCTGAAGACAATTGTTTTATTCTACCAGGTAGAAAGCACTGAAAGGAAATGTAGCATAAGAAAGTGTGATACTTTTAAGTTAAATATTAACCAGATTCAAACAAGCTCAAGAGCATTTCAAGTGTGGTTAACTTGTTGGGCAGTTGAACAAGAAGGAACTCAAGCAGTGAAGAACAGGCATGGGGATACTCTACTCAGAGGTACGTGACTATTTTTTGCACAGTAACTGAAGCTGTTGAAGGTGTGGATATTCACTGGGTTTGGTTTGTTCCCTTTGCCGCCCCCCATACACAGGCTTATACAGATCTGGAACATTTTTCCCTTTGGAAATGTTTTTCTTTGCCTGTTGCGAGTTGTCAGAAGTATTTTTTGTAGGAGCAAAGGAAATGCAATAACTAGTGTAATTATTGTGACTTCACAAAGTATGTGTTCAACATTTTTTGTTGTTCTGTGTTGAGATGAGAATGATTCGGAATGTGGTGCAAGCAACAGACAACTTTGCAAAATCAGACAACCCCTTGGCTTACACTGAATATAGATAATAAAGCTAATGCCTAAGAAAATATTCCCCTCCCTGCAAACTTGTTTTAGGAAGGAATTTCTTTTTTCTTTGGACTTATCTTTATGGTTTTTTCACAGGCCATGCTTCATTTAGTATTTTCCTAGACTTTAGCATAAATGATACCTAAACATATTGTTTTATAAACTTTCCATTTGTACACATGGGAACAAATAAGGATTTTGGTCCTTTTTGACTATGAATAGAGTGTGTTGCACTGCTATTTCTTTTTCTGGAGATAGCATCACATAGCTGTTCCTTTAAAAGGTTACATTTCTTTGCTGAAAGACACTCTTTTATATTTAAAAAGCTACTCAATGAAATCAAGTATCTTCTCCTCTTTCAGTATTACAAGGACCTTGAATCTGTTCATTCATAAGGTGATTGGTGAATAGACTGTAGCTTATTCTGAAACGATTTTTTGCCTCTCTCCAGGTCTACTCTTCTGAGATAGTATTGCACAGGAAACCAGTATCATCTAGCTTAATTAAATGGGTGTTTAAAGAATGTTCAAATGCTGTCCATATTTTCCATGCTTATTAGTCAATATTCTCATATACATTAGCTTTCTTCCTTTAAAAATTTTGAGATACAGTTTTCTAGGTAAAGTATGGTTCATTTCTACAGGACAGAAATCTAGAGAAATAAAAATAAGACAGTGTAAGTTGCCTTTTCTGAGAAGTATGCATTGGATATTAGGGCATTCCTCAGCATCCTAAACGTGATTTAGACTTCCCTTTTAGTTCATACTGTGCCTTTGAATTAATTTAATACACAGGAAGAGGCTGTGAATTGGTTCAGAATATTTTGACATTGCAATGTATCTCCTTTTTGTCTAAACAACTGCAAAGTGTTGATGTAATTTAGGCAATCCCCGGCTGTTCTCAAAGGAGGAAGCAATTATAAACCAAAATTGCTCCCCTAGTTGCATGACAGGCTTTACCTTCACTTCCTCTCCACTGGCTGAATGCTTTGTCCTTCATACTGTGCCTTTAACCTTTATTTCATGTGTGGTAGAACTTGCTAAATAGCTTGAGGTTTATCACTAGCTCAGCAAAACTAAGCAGAGAGAGATACAAGAAACCCTGAAAACAAGAAGACAAATTCAGATGTGGCCATTCATCTGGATATGAGTAAACTACCAATCACATGTCCCACAATTAATTAAAAATAAAAAATAAAAAAAAAATCAAAGGATCTGTTCTGCAATTGAATTTCCTGACAGTGAAAATTTTTTGCTATTCTCACACTCCTTATCTGGTTATCTTGTATTGAGTGATCTCAGCCATGAAAACTCTTGTCTCTCCTATGAGTACTTCTCACCTTTCCTGAAACCTTAAGTAGAAACTGAACAATTAAATCCTGGTCTGAAGGGCTTGCAGAAGAAGTATTGTAGAAAGAGAGATTTTAAGCACTCAATCATTGGCATATATAATCTTCAAACTCCACCCTCCAGTGTCTGTTCTTTGCTTTTTTCAGTTGGGCAGGCTGTGCTCTGGTTCATGGTTAGCCCTGATGCTATGGCAGGAAAAAGGCACAACTGGTCAGGGTGGAAGGAGTTTGCTGTTGTGATTCTCTGTTTTCCCTCCCTTCCATCATGTGTTTTGTGCAGCATTGTGCTGTCAGGCTCATCTTTTGTATCTTGTCTGAATGTTGAGTGGTGCTGCAGATGTGTGATTAGGAGCAGAGGAGAAGGGCTTTGCTGCCAGACACTTCAAAGAGGTGCTCTCTTCCTCTTTGCCTAAACTGGAAATCTTGGTCCTGCTCCCCCTCCCTTCACACCTGAGCTCATGTTTTTATTGGGTGCAATGTTTGTTGTGCCTGTGCCAGGTCTGCCCTGCTACGTTATGGAGGTGGGCCAGGTCTTTTGTGAGTTCTCTGGGGCAGTCAGGACACGGGGATTTATAAATAATGTGGTGTAGGCAAGAGTAGCCACTCTCTATCTTGGACTGCCTCTCCAACCTCTCCAGAAGTTGTAAACTCAGTTCCCACTGATGCTTTCTTCAGAGTTTTTTGTTGTGGGAGCACTGGCCCTTGTTTCTCACATATACCTAAAGGAGACGTCATAGACATTATATCTGTGCTCCAGTTGCCAGTGCATCTCTAAGAAGGGAAGCTGCAGGGGCTCCTGGCTGTCCTCCACTGCCATCAGATTTCTATTCTCATACTCCTGCTCTACTCCACACCTGAGCCCAAATCTGAGGTGTGAACTTTGGATTCTTTGGTTACGGCTTCCACCTTGCATGTGAAGCCCAGTTATTCTGAGTACATATCCCATAGGTTTATTCCCCCCTTGTGTATGATGGGTGGATAACAATAACATGAAAATCTGAAGCTGGTTGTTAAGCTGTATCACTGCTGAGGCAGTCTTCTAACACTGTAGATAACTGAGTGAGGTTTTGCAGTCTTTTATCCTCCAAGCTTTTCTGTAGACTTAAAGAAAATATGTTTTCTTGGGGTTTGGATGGAATCTACTACTTGTACCTAACATTGTTCTAACTCCATAATTTGCCTCCCTGCTGATCTTCCAGATAGGTGCCATCTAACTGTCTATTTGTAAGAAACTCTATTAGTCTTGTAAGCAAAGTTTGGAGAATTGTTTAAAACAGTCTTAAGCACAGTTAGTCCTCCTTTAGATAGGACCGCCAGAGAGGCAACCCAAAAAAGTGAGAGATGAAAGAGTGATTTGTGGCAGAGACTTCACAAACACAGAAATCCTGGCACGTGCTCAAGCTCCAGCCTGGACCGGTCAGGTTTTATGTCCATTCTGCTGCTACTGAAAACCTGTTTTGTTATTTGACTCTGCAGATTAATAGAAATCTCTTTATAATTTTCATGCTAAATTTCTTGGCCAGATATACGACTTTTTTTACCTTGTTCCTTGAAACCAATTAACACTTACCCTTTAATGTATTTTGGAACACCTACAACCTTGTCTGTACCTGGCCCAGCTAAGCAAATCAGTCTTTCTTCAGGCTCTTCATATTCCTCAGTTGTAGAGATGTTTCATGGTCCTGCCATAGTCTGATCTCATTTTTGGACACAAATGACAAGAACTGTATTCACTACCCCAGTTAAGTGCCTTCTATAACAACTCTCTTTCTGTGAGAGAGACTCTCTAATACAGCATTTGCCACTGGTTGCTGTTGCTGTTGCTGTTCTTGGACAGGTGACTGATTGCCACTTATTTGAAATTTATTACAAGTTTATTACAATAACACGGATTTGTGTTTTTTCCTAACACATTTTCTGAATCTCTATTGTTATTGATATCAATATAATGAATTTACAGTTGTCTGTATTGCTTTGTTCCCTTACTTAAATATTCTGCTACTATGTTTGTCCTTCCAGTCACGGAGTTGTGTTTGCCAGTTTGGGAGGTATACTATGAGTTTGATCCATGGGACTTTTTGCCTTTTTTTGACTAAAAGAGGCATTTTCTAGAATATAAACCAGCAGAGTGGGCCTCAAAAAATCCCATAAAACCAGGAAAAAAGTTTGACTTTTTTTTTTTCTTTAAACATGAAGAGAACATATTAATGCAGGAGAGAATAATTTCTACAAAGAACCACCACTGCAGTGGAATAACAATAAGTAAAAAAATACTTCAAGTACATCAATTACCCATGTATTAGCTGTAGGAATGGATGAGAATTGCTTCCTTACATTCTCTGTGCCCTGGATGTTTTCTGAGAACAACCGGTTTCGGTGGGTAAAATAGCATGAGTCATATGTGCTGGTCTCTGTGCATGACTTCAGTCCTAAATAATGTGGTCTCCTAGGGAGTGGTATGTGCTCCATCCTTATTCATGGCTCTAGAACTGAGTTCAACAGTAGTGTAAGGTTTAGAAAAAGATCCCACGGGTCAGTGAGAGTATCAGTCAGAAATGCCTTGGGTTTAATAGCCTAGCAAGTACAGAAAGAAAAGCAAAAAAGCATGTCATTTGCTGACATGAGCTGCTGAACTAGCAAGTATCATTCTAGGAAAGAATAAGACTGTATGGTAAATGACTGCAATTTGATCAGGTGTTCAACCAAACAGCAAATCTTTTGCATCTTTAAATAAGCAAAGCAATACCTAAAAGCAAAACCAGAAGGGAAATCAGAGGTGCAGACAGACTCCACTTACCTTCTTTTTCCTGGACCTGAAGATACAGTACTAGATGCTGACATGACAGAGAAAACTGATCGTTTAGATGGCACCTACGTGCTGGTCACACCAAAAGAGGTTTAAAGGAGGGTTTTCTCCTCAAAACCATTAAACCAGTTGTGATTCTGGTGGAGTGCAAAATAGCAAATGGTATATGTAGGCTTTTATAAGAATACAGACAGATGTGCAAATTTACAATATTGCAGGTATTTGCTGTTGATATTTATCTGAAATAATAAAAACAAAACAAGAAGTGGTGCAAGGTCTGGTAAACATGTAAATATTTTCTTAGGAAACAAATCACTTTCTTATGCAGCTGTCCAGAAGCAGTAACGATGCTGGAGGTAAACTTGTGTTGTAGATCAAAGTTTGCTGAAGTGAAAGTATAAATAAGAAGAATAATTTTAATATGGGGGGAGAGTATGAGAGGAGGGAAGTAACTGCAGGCAGAGTGAGGAAACAGCTTGGAGTTCAGGGCCAGATTTTTTTCATGTAGTGTATTTAGGATGTGAAAAAAGGAGAATGGAAAGGAAAAACTGCAGACAGTATTTAAAGAAAATTACTATTTTGTAAAATGTTGATAAAATCCTCAGTATCAAAGACAGAAAAAAATAAAATTGTTCTCTTTTTGACTGGAGAACTCAAATGCTACCAGTCTGCCCTATCTGTCACTGCTACTTTCTGCCTGTATTAGGCTGTTAGAAACTTGTATTACTCTTGCCATTCTCAGCCTCTCCTTAGTCTGAATTCGTGCTGCTGGAGAGGGAAGAAATTGCAATTTAGGTCAAGGATGTGTAGAAATACTAAGCAAAAGTTGAGCAGCAAGCAATTCTCCAAAGCCAATCAGGACCTGAGTTGTGGGCATACAGACATATATTTTTTAGGTAAAAAGTTTAGCTTCAAGCTTGAAAAGAAACACTGGGGGGGTTGTTTTCTCAACTTTTACCTGAAGTGTGGTTCTGTTCTGAGAACTGATGAGTCAGGAGTGGTACCTTCTGTTCAGAAGTGCTCAGACAAAGGGAAAGCCTGTTGTAAACTCAGAGAGAACTTGGGCTTGTCTTTGCTTGCTATTTAATACAGTGACCAGCTCCTTTGAGATTGGAAGCCGTTTTTTTTTAAAGGCTGCAAATAAGCCATATTTATTTCTTGAATTATAGAAATAACATCCAAAATTAACAGAAAACTCATTCCACTGTGCAAAGGCTGTGACTTCTGGGGCTGAGGGCTGAGAGCTGCTGTGTGGCAGCTGCAGGAGTGTCTCCTACCACCATCTTCTGGAAGTCACCAAGAACTACAACCTTTGTCAATTATTTTTGGATGTGCAAGTAGTAAGTCAGAATAGGAAGTATGGATGTTTTAATGAAACATATACTGATGAATATTATCTTCTCCCTTCAGCCCATTTGTCAGGCAGCTTATAACAACGATTTCAATAAAGTTCAGTTCCTTTTGGAGCGCAACTGCAACTATCTGAATATCCAGGACAGCTTCAGTGGAGACACCCCCTTAATTTGTGCATGTAAAAAGGGAAACAACAGGATAGTTAGCTATCTTCTAAGAAGACATGCTGATGTCAACCTCAGAAATAAGGTAAGTGGACACTGACTCCTTTGCAACGACTGTTCTTTCAGATTCTTGGAGTGCCAGTGGACACACTGGCAAGCACAGCCAAACCTGTTTATTTCCTACTGAGGCATAACTATAACCCCTAAATTGTAATTCAATAAACCTATATGTTTCTGTTTGTCTCCTCATTTCTTTTCCTAACTTGTTAATGCACACAAGATAATAAACATTGCAAACCTGAATTTTTCTCTGTGTTCATGTTCCCCATTTAGGTAACACTGCATGCCATCCCCAGTCCCCAGTGGATTCTGCCTGCTTACCCATGCAGCACTCCATATTCACTTTGCCCTCCACCTTGTGTCTGTCTCTTCTGTAGTTTTTTTCTTCTGCTTTTTTCTTCACCCTGGTTAAAAGGAAGGTCTGAACAAGAGCCTGTTGACCTTTCACAAATATGTCCCCAAAGAGAGACCAACTCTATAAAAACCTTCCTTACTTCCTTGCCAGACCTGCAGCTTGTCATAGTACAGAGCAGTAGCATCCTAGGGGGCAAGGAGAGAAGCCTTCTCTGCCTTCCTGCCGTGTTCTCTAATTTAGAAAACCAGCCTTCCTTGCTGTTGTTGTTTAACCCCAGCCAACAACTAAGTACCATGTCTAATGTGATGAGAAAGTGTGTTTTTGTGATAAATTTTCTAGTAGGTTACAAATAAAAAGTGGCTGAAAGATGTGTGTTCTGGCTTCATTAGTAATTTATTCTTATGATATCAAGGGTGCTAAAAAAGAAAAACCGCACAGCATTGTCAATTGTATTATATCAAGGCAACGTTTATCAAATTCCTGCACATTTGTGGGCTATCTCACATATCTGCTTTCCAGTGCATTTTTTCATTTCATAGAAGGGCAGCAAATGTTCATGAGGCCAGTGGAATATTCTATCCCACCTATTCTTCTTAATGCAGAAAGCCGTCCATCTTACCTCGAAGTCCCTTTTAAAGGGTTCAGTGTTTTGCATTAAGATAGTTTAAATTTCATTGGTAACCATTTGCTAGCCATGCCTGGCATTCTTAAATGCCTTCCTGCTTCACCTTCATAGATGGAATAAGGCCCTTGGACACAGAGCTTAACTGTGGTGTGAAAGACTGAGAATGAGGAACAGCAGGTGGCACAGAAGGGCTTGTCTGCTTACTTTGAGCCCCTGTGTAACATCATAACCTAGTTTGTCAAATTCCAGTTTGACAATCTGCGAGAAGCTTAACACTAGCATGAAACTTTGTAGCCCTGCCCGTTAGTTGCTTTGGTACATTCGGTATTCAAAGTTTCTTTAAACTCTGTTCTCACTAGGAATTTGTGGTGGTTACTGCTACTTACCTGTGTTTCTCAGATGTCCCAAAGGAGATGTCCTAAAGTCTCATATGTCCTTGCTTCAGTAACCAGCACCTCCATAAGAAGAGGAGCTGTGGGGATTCTTCCTGCTAATTTAACTTGATGGGTGGTGATAGTACCCACGAGATGTCCACTCTGTCTTTTCGGTCTCTGCAGCCATGTCTAGGTGTGCAGACATACACATGGAATCCTTTGGATCCCCCATCCTCCTTGCACATGTAGTCCAATTTTCATTCCCCTATATGTGTTAAATATGCTTCTACTTGAAGGAAGCAAAATGCAAAATGTGTCCCTTTCTGCTTGAAAATCAGAGGAATATTTCCAGTAGATAGTCTAAAAGAAAGCTTGTGAAATCTAAAATAGTCTACTCTTGTCGATATTAAACAAATAAAGTCAGATCACTGAATCTGGTGCTAATCAGAGTTATTCTGTGTTTAGAAGGACCGCACTTGCCTGCATTATGCTGTGAGAAAACGGTTTACCTTCCTTGACTATGTGCTCATCATAATCCTCATGCCAGTTATGCTTATTGGATATCTTCTCATGGTGAGTCTGAATGAAAGCAGGAAAAACACGGTATCTTTCCCTTTCCCTTTATGACATTTTTCATGGCAGTATTTCAGGCTAGGAACCTGTATAGTACACAGGACTGCTTTCTTAAAGCAAGGACTAGATGAATACAACAGAAGAAACAGGAATTTTGCTGTGAATATAGCTGGTGTAGGAACAGAATTGCAGCACTTCATCAGCCTGTTATTTGCAGAAGACACTCTTCTTTTTGGAAAAAACCCACAGTATTTAGCCCAAATTTACTTAGCACTATATATAGATGAACTGTCTTACTGTGTTACTCTTTCTCTTGCACCAAACAGGTCTCAAAGACTAAACAGAATGAAAACCTGATCAAGATGTTGCTCAGAGCTGGAGCTGATGTGAATGCTACAGACTCTGTAAGTGGATTTATAAAAATGTAAATGTGGTTTGCATGCATGCAACAACTCTAAAAACAGACCTCAGAATCTTCTAGCAACATAGTTCTGCTATAGAATGGGATCAGGGACTGAACTGACTGTGACGTACCAGGAGAATTCAGTGTTTCCCCTTGATGTTTAGGCAACAGTTTTTCAATATACTAATGTACACAGAAATAATCCCCACTGATCAACAAATTATTTTTTTTAACATATTTTTTTTTAAGCATAAGAGAATCCAGGTAAGCTGGGCTGAAATACTTATTTGTGAAATACCTGATCCTATAAGGATTCTACCTATATAAGGGTCTCAGTTTATCAGCATTTATGAGTTCTTGAACTGGAGCATATTTTTGGGCAAAGATCATGCCACAGGGCTAGATCCTGTGTCTACTCTTGGTCGTCAGTGTGCCGATCTGCCATAGACAGAGTCCTGTATCCACTAGCCTACTTGGGTGTGGTAAAGACCTCCTCTACTCTAAGATAGAAAAGAATACCCAATTTTATCAGCAACCAAATTCTAAAATGCTGAAGTGCAAGCAAATAGTATTGTTGGGATCAATATCCTGGAATCCTCTGAAATTAGTAAAGAACTACTGGCTTCCTGCTGAAGGTATAAGACCTGTTTTAGCAGCTGCTTTCCATGGAAGGAATGATTTTTTGTTGTTGTTCCTGTTGCTCTTATGATAATGTATTTGTTTTATTGTGTAGTGTGTTGTGGTAGAAACTGATATGTGTGTTTTGCATCCAACTGTTGAGGGAAACTGATAAGGCTACAGGTACTTGCTTAAAGTCTACTAAAGAATTCATAGAACTAAAATTCATCTGCTTCTGTCTCCCTTCAGTCTAGTAGCACAGCCCTTCACTATGCTTGTGAAATGAAAAATCAGGAAGTCATTCCTCTACTGCTTGAAGCTCATGCAGACACTTCTGTAAAGAATCAGGTAAGAAGGTGAAATTGATAACTGTATTTAGCTGGTGTGCAGCAGTTTAAAGAAAAGGGTGCTCAGCTTCCTGGCAGTGGAGTTGTTTCCTGTTTGGTATAAAACATTTGCTCCATTGCTTTTGTTGGCAAGAGCAACTTTGAAGTACAAATCCTTCACTGCTGGATTTCTACCAGTAAACACTGCCCTTATGTCCCCTGGTTTGGCACATCTCATCTGTCTTTACAGTATCTCTTCTTAACTCAGAGCTGCTCTGCAGTTCTGTTCCTAAGAAGCAGGCTACAGGGGAGTGGTAAGAGCCTTCTTAGGTGCTTTTCATGCTGTTATACACCATTATTCTGCAAGAGGCTAAGTCAAGCTGCTCCTGTCACCAGAATAGCTCAAATGTTGCCCAAATCAGTATTGACCTGGGAGTATCTGCATTACTGAGTTGAGGTGAGCAATGTATTACCCATGTTGCTCTTGAATCCAGATCTTAGCTGTGCTAAGTTTTAAAGCTGTGCTAATATCCAAAATTGACTTTTGGATATTAGTCCCAGGAAACAGTGGAATGGCCGTCTGTCTTCAAAGTAATATTAGATCCAGCATGTTCTGAAACCTTTGTTTTAGAGCATGGATGTGACAGGGGAACTTACACAGGAGACCAGTGCATCTGGGTGACAAATTCGGGAAAGCTCCTTGTACTTGATCGATATCTATGATACTGCAATGTATTTCATCTGTTTCTTTCAGGATGGGGAGACTCCCTTAGATATAGCAAGAAGACTGCAGTTCCACAACATTGAAAGCATGCTAAGGAAAGCTTCCTAGTCATCAAGGACTCTCAAACATGCAGAAAATTACCTCATCTGACAATGCATCTTGCATAACAGCAAACGTCCAACAGAGGGTGAAGGCTGTTACTTGATAAAAACTTGGTCCACATCCACCCATTCCTTGCTGTAGACTTTGACAACTTTGTGTGAGACTTGTCAGTATCCCCAAGGCCATGTGTGGGGTGAAAGGAGTTAATTTGATTTTGCTGAGCCATGAATAATTACAATAGTGGTCAAAATATTGCCCTTCCCATCTGTTTCATCAGTCTTATTACTTGACTTCTGCAGTCTGTGGATTTTGAAAGCTAGCTATAAAATATCTGGAAGCCTAAATATTACATATGGTTGGCAGCCAATGCAAAAATAAAATATCCTTTAGAGTGCACATTACTTGTTCTATAGGGGAACTAAACAATATGCTACAGCAGTTGTACAAAGTCTGGTACCCTTCCTCTTAGTATTTCTCTTCCCACAATGGGAGTGACTGGGAAAATAGGTCTCTCGGTTGAGCACTTTTTCCTTCCATCCTTCCTACAAGTTTCACACACCTTAATTCTCACTATATTGCTACAAGGGTAGGATTATCTTCTCCCTTTTTTTTTTCATGTAAGACACAGCAAAAAGAGATTCAATGGCTTGCTGGAGACCATAAAGAAAGCAAATTCCCAGATCACTTTAATGCATTAAGAAATAATAATGAAAATATGTTTGGCATCGTAGAGAAACAGGTCTCTTGACTACCTTTCCAATATAAACAGTGTACTAAAAAAAAAAATCAATAAATGAAATGCTGTTGATGAGAACCAGATGTATTCTTCCCATGGGACTGGACAGGATAGTATGCTTTTCAGAGTGGTGCATGCAGCAGGGGATAATACCAATAATAATAATAATAATAATATATCCATGAATCTTATCTTGCATAGGTAAAAGCAGAGGAAAACCCGCATTTGTAAGCAATGTATTAAAGTGTCCTGCTGCTTTGTGATTTAATAATGCAGCAATAAAAGGGAATCTCCTTTGGAAGGCTGCTGTATTTTGCCTTCTTGATCTAATGGATCTTTGTTTTTGTTGACAATTTTGGCCTTTTCCCATAAGCTGTCAGAAGTGCAGTAGATAGATGCCATGATTAGCACTGCTAATGGTGCTACACTAGGTGCAGGGACAAACTAGAGTATTTTTCCTGTGTTGAAGAAGACAGATATTTTTCAGTGTAACTATTCTATTGGATGCCAACTCCAACTGCAAAGGGTCTTGGTTGGGCAATTTGAGTTTGAGTCTGCAGCCAGAAACACCCTACGAAACCAAGCTCCCCGTTTGAGCCTGTAATCATGAACACTTTATGTGTAATCTGGGGACAGGCACTCTTAGCTGCCAGATCTACGTGAGTAGATGTGAGGCACTTCCATGGATAATGAAGATGCCATCTCTTAGGGCTAATGGCTGGAAAGGAAAAACGACTGACTGCTTTCCCATGTTTTAGAACCTGCTTAAAGGAAGAATGGAGAAGACACAGAGCTGTCTAAAAGTCGAAGCTGAATATCTCAGAGTGCTTGAAACAGCTTCATTGCCAGTGTCAAGAATAATTCATGGGGTGGAACCTGTATTGCTTGGAGTGCACCTTGCCAGATGGGGCTGCATTTTATTATTCCTCAGCTGCCATCCATGGTCTTCAAAATTGAGGGGTTTGGAGTGTATGAACAGACATCTGGGTGCTTTGTAGGCATGGAGGGCAGCAGAATACTTCTATGAGTTTTTCTCAGGCTGAATTCCTTGATGTTTGGTAGTCATCTATTGTCTGCTCAGTTTCTTGTGTTTGAAGATCTCTGTGAGGAGGGGAAAAAATAATAAAAAAAAAAAGCCAAGTCCTCTGTCAAGGGGATAAATAATTTAATGTAAATAAAGGTGCTCATTTCAACAGAGAAATGATCAAATCACACTTTTAGGTCTCCACAGGAAGACACAAATTGGGCATGGGAATGCCTTGATGGGGTACATAAGATATACACGAGAACAACAGAATGTAGGCTTAGGCAAATCAGTCTTGTAGAAATAAAAGCTGTTCAAATTAAGTGATCCCTGCAGTACATGCTTGAATACATTCATGTTTTCAGCTTTCATTAATTTCAAAAGTATTTTTTTATTAGTTCAATGATTTTCATATACATTTTCTCAGTTGCATCAAGGCCCCAGATGAAATCAAGATGTCCCCATGTAGGAAACTGCTCATGGTAAATGAGATTACTAATCTGAGGAAGTAGCCTTGCCATGTCTTTTGGATCTGCAAATGTGTCCTCTCCTCCACTCCAAACAGCAATTGGTATGGTTATCTCCTCTATCTTGTACACAGGAGGAGCAGTCTGTAAGAAGGGAAGAAGCCTGAGTAAATGCTGTTGTATCAAAATTTATGTTTAGGGAAGGATTCTGTGCAAACATCTCTCTTTCTCTTTCCTGATATTCAGAGTGTGAAGATCTGTAAGTTTTGTTGGGGCATGGAGTGCAACTGTTCATTTTAGTTTTCATGCTTGGAACTTAAGTGACAAGGAAATAATTTGGCCATTTATAATTTCACTCTAGAAAATTTCTGAGACAGTATGCGAGATAGAAATGGACTGATTATACCTCTGGAGTCTTTCTGTCTGTGGAAAGCAGACAGCACAGGACACTGCAAGTCAAATGTGCTGGTTAAAAGTGAAATGATTGTCAGTCCATTGGAGAGATCACTGTAGCTGTGAAATTCATTTCCTCCCTTAATTGAAAGGCAGATCCTGAAGATTTTGGGGGAGTTGGAGAGCACTGTACCCATCCGGTCCCAGGACTTGGGTGTGGCTCTTTGCCTTTTGAGAATGACATTTAAGTTGGCATGTCATTGGACACATCCCTGCATCAGTAGGGGAGGCAAAAGGAACTTCTGTTAGCTGTCTGCAAGGATTGTCCATGCCATGTCTGTGAATAGACTTTTATACTTTTGTGTGTGATTCAGTTGAAACATAGCCTGAGACCCCTCTTTCCCTTGGTAGCATTCACATGTGCTAAAATTTGAATTTTTCTATTCTTAGTTTTGCCAGGACCCAAGAATTAGTTCTGAAGGAAAACATATTGCCTTACCTGGTTGTATTTCTTCATGTTTTCCTTAGAGCCATAGTTGTAAGCTTGAAATTGGTCTGTATGTGCTAGCTGTTAAAAGAACAGATAAAATGAAAGTGACAGGAGACCAAGAAGCAGAGTGCAGGAGGCATTTTACTGCCTATGATTTAAGTCAAGGCTTGGGTAGTGGACTGTGAGTTACTCCCCCACCTTTCTCTGGTTGCAGGCTTCCTGGATATTGTGGGTAGATCATAGGATAAGTGGCTTCATTGCCTTTTCTCTTGCTAGTTTTTTATCATGATCCTTTTCTTCCACCCTTGGTATGTTTTATTACTTACAATTTTGCTTTACTACCTTGGGTAACTAAGGTTGGGGTTTGTGTTCGTAATACAGAGTTGGGTTCAGTTGTCCCATGGAAAGAGAACCTGAATGTCTATAATGTGTCAGGGCTATTACTAGTCTAGTGTAATATGCCTTGCAGGACTGATGAGTGAAGAGTTAAATACATATACCTGGAGTTTTTTGTTTGTTTTGGTGATTTTATTTTTTGCATGAACATGACAAGTAATTTCATTTGTGAGTAGTTGTATGTAATAAAGGCTGAAAGAAAGCCAGGGCCTGTCAATGTAGAAAACCTTTACTTCAAGGATTTAAGTAGCTGGGTGTGTGCTAGAAATCTGCTTGTGGATTGTCTTTGCTATTTGATCTTGCTGTATCTGTGTTTGCTTTTATCCACCTGACTTTGTTAAAGGCTGGCAAAATGGACTGTAAAGTCACTAGCTGTCAGTGGTTTTTCTCCATTTCCTGGCTAGTTGTATCTTGTGGGACTGACTGCTGGGAATCATTGCCAAGGGTGTCTTCAAGAGCAAATCTACATTCTAGACTACATTAAGTGTGCAGGTGCTCATGGCAGCAGGTGAGAAAGTGTGATGGTCAGTTTCCCAGATCCGTAATCTCTGGATTTCCTTGTAGGCTGTTGGTTGCATAAAAAGCAGTAGTAAGATGTTTGTACATCTGTGCACAGTTATACCTGTTGCCAATGAATAATATTCTGTACTGATGTTCCAGCTGGGGAATGTCCTACGTATGTGTCTATTCGACTCTGAGGAGAAAGCAGAAATTTTATAAAGACAGAAACCCAGTGTTGTGACAGAATAAAAATGCAAATAAACTGAGCAACATACTGCTGCTGTATTAAACCTCCATACTAATGGGATATTCTTCGAATATCAGACAGAAAACGGAGAAGCAGACTTCAGAATAGCTGGTTAAGAGTATGTATCTGCATGCCCTCTCCAGGAAAGCAGTACATTCCACGAAGACAGTACTGCTGTGGGATGCTATGCCCAGCAAAACTGGGGAAAAACCTTCCAACTCTTTCAAAGGAGACTTCCCATCTCACACCAGACCCCCATGCATCTATAAGTCTTATGAAGATTTGGTTTTTTCTTCACTTCACTCCTAGTCCTAAAGAAGCCAACTTACAAAACTGATACATTTTGTTTCTGTTTGTATTTTTTGTAGTTCTATTAGGGAGATGTTCCAGTTCCATCTCCCCAGATTCTTCCTCAGCCATGTCATCTTGCCCTGAGGACCACATGAGTGACTTAACAAATCAGGAAATATCCTTAATGGTTTAGCTCTTTAATTCAAAAAGGGCTGCAATGCCTTTAATTTCTTTTGCATTGAACCTTTGATTCTAACTGCTTTCTCATATGTGCTTTTAAGAAGTGGTTATAGATGGAAAAAATGCCCCCCCCCCCGTCATTACAGATATTGCAGTAATAAACATTATACAGCCAGCTTCTGCACTTTGGCCACTGTAAAGGGGATTGACACCACAGTGTCCATATGCTGGCAAGCACACAGAAAACCCTTCTGTCTCTCCTTCCCCTCTGACTGATGCATTAGTGTTTGTGAATCCCACTGTAGGTGTGCTGCACTTCTCAGCACAACATAAGGAGTTTGTGTAGCTCTGCACCTTGTAGATTGAGCTGTTGGGTCCACTTCTAAGGTCAACAAAATGGGAAAATGCCCCTTACGGTTGTTCTTTGGGACCAAGTTTTGGTGCAAGTAGTCTTAAAAGTGGGAATTAAAAAGGGGCTTTTTCCTGACTTTTAGCTATTCCAGTGTTCAGAGGACCCCAGTGTCCACATGTCAAGGGAAGAAACTAGCAACTGTATTGCCAAGAATAAATCCGACTCCATCATTCACTGTCTCTTTTTAAAGTACATCTGTGCGTGACCAATTCTGGTTGGCTTAGCCCCCAGTAAGAGTACATCTATTGACATATACAATATAGGTGTAGTCTGAATTCAGTCCTTTCTTTCTGGAATAGGAATGTGCCCAGTTGTTGGTCCCATCCATCACTACCTCTAGTCATGCTGCTGCTGTTGACAGCACACAATGTCCTGGCATTCCCTCAGTCTGCTGAGAACTATGTTGTGGTTTATGTATGTTTACATGCACGACAGTAACTGAGTAAGGAGAGAATGTACAAGTGAAACTTCCAAAATCACTTTAGTTTTACTTTGAATAGGTGTTCTTGCATATGCTTACCGTGTTCAGATTTTTTATGCTTCCTCCAGCTATGTAACAGAGAACATGGGCACAAAACTTATCCAGGTTTGTACATAACTGTGTCACGGGTCCTTTCAGAAATCCGATCTGGTGAAAGGCT